TGTCAAGAGACAAAAATGTTCAGGACACATTTCTCTATCTGCTCTGATAATTTGAGAAAAATCTGTGACAGTGCATTGAGCACGCTATGCTGGAAAAGTGCGTTTCTATCGTGCACTGCCTCCTATACACTGAATCGATTTGAAGCAATTAAAAAAAAATGTGTAGATCGATAAGTTAGTGAAGCATTACTTAGTGTTCTCATTCGAAATGAGAAAAATTTTTAGAAGTAATTTCGAACGTGCAGAACTCTCATGTTAGTGAATTATTGTTGCATTTAAACAAACAAATACATACGCGATTGCATCTTTCTTTGCTTGATCCACTTTTTTCTGTTTCTCTTCTTGATTTGCTTGGGTATTCTGTTCATTACGATTACGAAAGATTTCATCTTCAAATCGTCCAATTCCATTCAAAATAATTTCAGTACGTTCCATATTCGGTATGCCATTTTCTGTTAGATATTCTCTAAACTTAGACAAATTTTCTTTGTAAAGATCAGTTAAACGGTCGATGGCATTCTCTCCTATTTGTAACGATGGCAAATGTGGCAAATAATCATTGCCAACCAGACAACACAGAAATATCCAATCGTCAACAGCCCGTTCAATGTTCCATGTAAACGACGGAGGCAAATCCAGTTTTAAATCACAATAGATATGATCTCTCAGCACTAACAAATTAACGTATATAAATGGTCGAATATTCACATCAAATTGTTCGTTTGACAGACTATAGTCACCTTGTATTCCGAATCTATCTCTATTCGGTACAAATTCTTGTCGCATTATTGTGAAATAAGGTTCATGTATGGCAAGACCCAACAAAATTAAATCAGCGTCCATCCCGTACAGTACGTGATTCGTCTTTATATTATAATTTGGTTGTGCACGCTGACAACGAATGTATTCCATTATTTTATGTTCACCTTCATCGGGTACACTAGCATCGGACAAAATCACTATCAGATTTCGCCATGCTGGAACATTGTTCATACGCGAAAGAATATAAAAACGAAGACACTCAGCAAGGCGAAACATGAACACAGTGCCGGGTGTTATACAAATCGAATCAAATTTTTGTTCTTTTATCATTGTCGTTGATAAATTATTTTCTATTAGTTCGCCCTGTGCTGCTGCTTGAAAACGTCTCGATCGTTGTTGATTCATTTTTGCATGTGGACAAACACCATCGATAGCCAAATAAAGAAGTTTTCTTGGACGAACGATTGAGAAGATACGATCAATAAATTCAAAGATTTTGATGATCATTTCATCTTCATTCTTTGGTAGTTGACCGACTTCTACACGAGTACATTGATGAATGATGTCGTTCATATCCAAATACAGATTATCAAACTAAGTAGTAAAAACGAAGAGAATCAACTATTCCATGTAACATCACTGATATACCTCGACTCCATTTGGATTTGGTTTTAACAAGTCTTCATCTTTCGATGATTGATCTTCAATACATCGACTAACAATTGATGGATATTTTCTGATGAGCCAACTGAAAAATGATGCGATACCCATTTGACGAATAAAAATTAATCTGAAAAGAGATATACACATTTCAAATCAACATATGGTCAGTACTGATCTTACAAGGGAGGTCCACCAACTGTCCAGTCGCTTTTGAGACGGAACCTAGTGGGTTATTATTAATTATCCTGATAGGTAACCGACCATACTGATTCCGAATATTGACATGAGACTGGCAGTGAGACCTAAGTTTACCAGAAAAGCACTGAATTAATTTCTTCTTATTTTTGTAGCTTTGAGCTGACAATGAACATTTAGGGCTTTTCATGCAGACTCTATAACTTTGCAAAGAAAGGTCGTGTAGAGCCGGCAGAAGGCTCATTTTAATCAGAAATGTGTGGACTATAATCATATCTCATTAAGAAAGGTTTGGGTGAATTTTTTAGAGTTTTTAAAAAACTGGTTTTCCAGAAAACGGGTCTCTGGAGGTCGTCCGTCTCATGTCGATATTCGGAATCAGCATGGTCGATTATCTACCACCTACTAGGTTTCGTCTCAAAAGCGATTGGACAGTTGGCTCATCAGAAAATATCCATCAATTGTTAGTCGATGTATTGAAGATCAATCATCG